GAGGGGGCAAGCTATAGGTGCGCTCGCGCCACATCTGGTCTCCGATCCTAGCCCTCCCTCCAATCCCTGCCCGTTGCGCTGAGTTTGTCTCTGTCCCAGGGGCCAAAAAGCCGACCTGGAGTTCCAACAAAACGACCCGAGCGTGTCATTCGCAGTCGGGAAGGGGGAGCTGCGTGCATGGATGGCGGGTGAGCAGGGGGATGAGCAGGAGGAAAAAAAGGAGGGTGAGTAAGGAGGAGGGCGAGGACGAGCAGCAGCAAAAGCAGCAGGATCTGGAAGGAAGGAGCGGGAGAAACAGGAGGGACAGGGGCAGGCGGCGGAGGGGAAATGAGAAAGGCGACAACGATGAGAACGAGCTCGGCTCCCAAAAAATGGCTCACGATGGGGCGAGAGCGTCATTCTGAACGACGGGGGCAAAGCGCCGATCCGAAAATGAGGCCCACGCTGCAGCGGGAGCACCATTATGAAACACTGAAAACAATCGGATTGCAAAACAACACCGTCGGGAAAAAAACACCTGTGCCCAAATCTGCATGTCAAAAAAAAAACGCGGAGAGAACCGGCTATCTTCAGGACGGAGTCAGGGGAGAGAGGAGAATAGTATCCATAATGCGAAATTGTAAGGGACTGTCAACCTTTCATGATCCACTATTTTGATGTTGTCGGCCAGAGAAGGGAAGGAAGGGAAGGGATGGGCTGGCCGCCGAAACGCAGGGCAGGGGAGGAGAGAGGGAAGGGAAGAGGCGACGGGAGGGAGAACGGGGATGAAATGGAGGGCGGAGGGTAGAAGGTGCAAGAAGGGCCATTGAGGGGAGGGATGGAAGCTGAGGGTCCACCCCTTGCTTTGAATCCTCCTCGTCTTCCTCACAATCATCCTCATCATCCTCATCATCATCATCATCAGCAGCAGCAGCATCATCAGCATCATCATCATCAACATCATCGTCGTCGTCTCATCAGCATCATCAACATCGTGATCATCATCATCATCATCATCATCATCATAATCATCATCATCATCATCATCATCATCATCATCATCATCATCATCATCATCATCATCATCATCATCATCATCATCATCGTCACCATCATCATCATCATCATCATCCTCATCATCATCATCATCATGAGCATCATCATCACCATTTGCATCATCATCATCATCATCATCATCATCATCATCATCACCATCCTCGTCACCATCCTCATCACCATCATCGCAACCACCACCACCATCATAATAATAATCAGCGACAGCATCATCAAAATCACAATAATTATCGTCAACATCATCATCATCCGCATCATCAGTAAGATTGCCAAAATCGTGAGCATCATCATCATCATCACCATCATCATCATGAGCATCATCATCATCATCATCATAATCATCATCATCATCATCATCATCATCATCATCATCATCATCATCATCATCATTATCGTCGTCAGCATCATCAGCATTATCATCATAACCACCACAACCACCGTCAGCACAATCATCATCATCATCATCATCATCACAATCATCATCAACATCACTAGCATCGTCATCTTCAGCACCATCATCATTATCATCATCGTCAACTACATCATAGTCGTCAGCATCAGCATCATTATCATTAGCATCAGCATCATTATCATCCTCGTCGCCATCATCATCGTCATCGTCACCAGCAACTTCTTCATCGTCATCAGAATCATCATCGCCATCATCATCTCATCAGCATCATCATCAGCACACTAATCACCATCATCGCCACCAGCATCAGCATGATCATCAGCAGCAGCATCATCCGCATCATCAGCATCATTGCCATCAGCATGATTATCATTATCATCATTAGCAGCATCAGCATCTCCACCATCGTCACCATCATGATCATCATCATCAGCAGCAGCATTATCATCATCATCAGCATCATCATCATCATCATCAGCATCATCATCATCATCATCATCATCATCATCATCATCATCACCATGATCATCATCCTCATCATATCAGCCAGCATTGACTCGAAATAGATAGGAGGACAGGAGAAGGACGAGAAGAGGACAGGAGGAGGACGAAAGGAAGACGGGAACAGGACGGGAGGAGAACGGGAGGAGCAAAATTAAGCAAACGCAAGCAAGCAAGCGGAAGCAAGCAAGCGCAAGCGAGCAATAACAAGCAAGCAAGAGCCAGCGATCAAGTGCAAGCAAGCAAGGGCAAGCAAGAGCAAGCAAGCGAGAGCAAGTCCTATAGGGCAAGCCTACTTGAAGATTCATCATCATCATCATCATCATCATCATCATCATCATCATCATCATCATCATCACTAGCAGCATCATCATTACCAGCATAATCATCAGCGACATCATCACCAGCATCATCGTTGTCATCAGTGTAGTCATCAACATAATCAGCATGATCACCAGCATCATCATCATCATCACCATCATCACCACTATAATCATCATCATCATCATCATCATCATCAGCATCATCAGCATCATCATCATCAGCATCATCAGCATCATCATCGCCATCATCATCAGCATCGTCGTCGTCATCGTCATCGCTATCGTCATCATCATCGTCATCGTCATCAGCCAGCCAGTCAGCCAGTCAGCCAGTCAGCCAGCCAGCCAGCCACTCGGCCAGCACCATAATCATCAGAATCATCATCTTCATCATCATCACCATCAGCAACAGCATCATCAACGGCCATCATTAGCATCGTCGTCATCATCATCATCCGCATCAAAATCACCGTCATCACCGTCATCGGCATCGTCATCATTATCATCACCATCATCATCAGCAGCATCATCACCACCGCCACCACCACCATTACCATCATCATCAACATCATCAGTTTCAGCAGCAGCCGCATCGCCATCATCATCAGCATCAGCATCATCATCAGCATCATCATAATCATCACCACCATCACCATCATCATCAGCAGCAGCAGAAGATCATCATCATCATCGGCATCATCATCAAATTTACCTTCATCATCATCATCTGAATAAGCATCTTCATCATCTTCCCCGTCCTCGTCGTCGTCCTCGTCGTCGTCGTAGTCGTCATCCTCATCGTCACCCTCCTCCGTGTCGTGCCCATCTTACTTCGCTGCCTGCCCACCATCCTCCTCTCTCTGCTTCTCTGGCGCGAGATCGGCCTCTGCCCCGCGGTGATGAGGGACATGCTCCGACAGTGCTGCCACCTCGGCTGCCGAGGGGGAGGAGGGAGGCAGGGAGAGAGGGATGGAGGCAGTGCAGGCAGGAAGAGGAGGATGATGGGACGGGACGATGAGGAAGAAGACGAGGAGGCGAAACAAGGAGTGAGGAGAGAAGGGAGAAGGGAGAACGGAGGAGCTGGGAGGAGGAGAAGGAAGGCAACCAAATCGTACGGAGGGAGGGGTCAAGACCACCATGGCATGACCACGGCAGCGCGCTGCAGAATCGCCGTCTAACCTCAAACCCAATACCCGACTCAAGCGCACCGAGAACCAGCTGAGCCACCACCACTTGCATACCCGCCACCACCGGCATATCCACCTGACCATAGGAGGCGGAACCAAGCGGAGCTCGCGAGACGGCTCCACAAGATGAAAAGACCGCCGCGCATGCCCTTCAACTTAACCCACCAGCTGCCGCGCCCTCAGCCACAGGTAGCAAACCACACGCTCAATCCAACGAACTAGAAGCCTAACCCTTCTACTTCAACACCGAAACACCGGACTCGGTGCGGGACGACCCGAGTGCGGGTATCTGCCAACAACGAAGAGTTCTTCGATAATGACCAGGACAACCTGGTCCGCAACGCCCCACTAGCCCCACGCTCAGCCAGATAGCCACCACCACCACCGAAGCCAAAGATACCGCCCCCGCCAACCCGCTCCGCATGCGTGGACTCCTCAGCCCTGGACATGCACATCGCTAAGTACGACATCGACGGCATCTACAAAGCGCAACTCGACGAGATCAAGCAACAGGTCAACGACATGGACATGGACAACGTATGTACATACACCGCCGAGCGGCCGGATGTTGGACCACGCTTGAAGAACATCACGAAGAGGACCCAGCCCCAGAACACCCTCAAAAAAGGAAGTGATGGTGTAGGTCATGATAGAGATCCAGAACGCGGTACCACCAGCCCCGCAGCAGAGCTCGAGAAGCAGCAGTGGGCCATCGAGCGCGACCGCAAACGCTGCCACGACTACACCAAGGGGCGCCCATGGGGCACCCGATCCCAACCACCCGCAGGCCGACCACATGCGGCGGGACAGAGAGAACCTCGTCAACCTCTTGGCCCAAGACCCGCGCCAGACCACAGCAGAAGGAGTTACGACAACCAACCTAGCGGACGAAGCAACAACCGCGCCCAGCACCGACCAGCTTGACCACCACCCTTGGCAGCAACGCCCGACCCCCATGCCCAACCCACTCACCGACAACGCACGAACCATAACCAACCCGACAAATGACCAGGAATCAAGACCAGCGCGGTACAAAGCACCACCACCTGACAAGCTCCTATACCAGCACATTCCAGCCAAGCCACCACCACCACCACCACCGCCGCGCTACAGACCAACAGCCACAAAGCCCGGGGAGGCCACCGCCCAATCCGGCCAAGCAGCTGGCCGACAACTGACGACTAGGACCAAGAACGACAAACCCACCGACCATCCAGCAGACAGAGGTCCCAGAGAAGAGCCTATCAACCAAACCTGCCCAGGAATCCATCCCGCCCACACAGGAAAACCCACACCCCATGGTCAAACCGATGCCCAAGACTGGCAACATGAGCGCCCCCCTCACACCCCCACCCTCCGAAAATGCACCACGGGTCAAGACCAGCGGCGCGATGGCAATAGCGCAATATTCTAGGAAGAGGCACCAGCCCTGATCGACGAGACACCCACCCGAGCAAGAAGCGGTACCACAACTGCAAATATGGAGCACAACGCCATCTGTCGACTCGTCGACACGATCCGCAGCATCCACCACGATACCAAGAACATGGTCTTCAAAATCCACGCCCATAAAATCATCAAGGAGAACATCCACAACCTGACGAACCCTTACGACCTGTACGACCCATCGCGCAACGCACACCGGCAAGAACGCCATGAACACGACCAGGTCGTGCAGCATTTCACTAACGCACTGCCGCAGAAAAATGGCCTTCCACCATGCAGCATGCCGCCACCTTTGACCACAACTGAGACACAGAAGACTCTCACGAGGTACATCCACCAGATGAGCAGCTTGATGGCCTACCCGACCAGCACGAGCGACTACGACGAGCTCACCCCGTATGCCCACGCCCAGCTGGATTGCGACAAGATGATGGACTACGTCAATGTCGGCCTTCTGCACAACCCCCACGGAAGGCCAACGCCCTTCGATACCACACCGTTCGAGAAGGCAGTCGCCAACGACATGATACAGCACATGAAACGCCGACTTGACTATACCTACAAGCCACCCCAACCCGACTACCCTGCGGAGCAACACTGACACGACCACCCCAACCCACCACCCGACCCCCTGACAAACAAAACACTCAAGCAACGAACAGAGCGACAGACAAGACGCTCAAGTGCGATCGACCGCAATCGTAGCCGCACACGCACCGAAGGACACCCCCTACCACGCTGGCAGTACAGCTACAACGTAGACCATCCACACCAGGCCCTCCCCTGGCACCAGTTTTCTTCAAGGTTTGTCCCTCTCTATGGACGCACGCACAAAAGCCGGGGACCACTACGCGCACACGCACCCACTACAGATTGCCAGCCGACCGAAACCAAAGAGACCCACGACCCAGATCATGACCACTGAAACAAACGAACATCTGACCACGACCACAGAAGCGATCCAACGAATAACACCAACTGCGTACTCGACACGCGCTACCCCATCATACAATCGGACGAGAGCGCGAGGGACGACGGCAACAGAGAAGACCACTACCCCGCAACCGGATCGGAACCCCGGCGACGGGAGCAGCGACCCCTGCCAGCCAAGCATGCGACCGCCACCGACAGCAGCATCAGGGAAGCGCCGCCCAAGTGGACGACCCCACCACGATCACGCCATCAGCGTGATCGCCGGCAACGTCGACGCCTCTCACCATGCAGCAGCGCAAACCTGTGGTACTGGCCAGTCTCTCTCAGAGACGCCACTGCACCACCCGTCTCCCACAACCATGGGCTAAGAGGTATGTTGTTCCCATGGTACTTCGGGACCACATCCCAGAAATAACCTTCGAGCAGCCAGAAAAGTATCGAAACAGCGTCGAACGAGCATCGCCTCCCAGGGCCCGACGCGTGAAGACACTCCACTGTCGGCACTCCCCTGGTGCTCGAAGCTCTCTCTGACGACCAGCCGCCCTGCCTGCGAGAAGGGGGGCCTCGCCGACGGGCGCCGGGCGGCGCCGGGAGGTCGTCGACGCAGCGGAGGGAGAGAAGGAGGAGGAAGACGAGGGAGGAGGAGGAGGAGGAGGAGGAGGAGGAGGAGGAGGAGGAGGAGGAGGAGGAGGAGGAGGAGGAGAGGAGGAGGAGAGGAGGAGGAGAGGGAGGAGGAAGAAGAGGAGGAGGGAGGAGGGAGGAGGGAGGAGGGAGGAGGGGGGAGAGACGATGGAGGAGGGAGGAGGGGGAGGAGGAGGAGGAGGAGGAGGAGGAGGAGGAGCAGGGTGGAACATCACAAGCTAAGAGGCGAACGCCACCCTCCTGCCCAGACGGGACCCGCCGCACGGAGGCCCGTCAGTGCGCCGCTGCCTCTGCCAGTGCTGTGCTTCTCCTCGGGCGACGACCACGACCGCCGGCTGCCCCCATCGCTGCCCCTGGCCTCTGCACGGCTCTCCCACCGAGCGGACACGAGGAAAGGAGGAGGAGGAGGAGGAGGAGGAGGAGGAGGAGGAGGAGGAGGAGGAGGAGGAGGAGGAGGAGGGGGAGGAGGAAGACGAGGAGGAGGAGGAGGAGGAGGAGGAGGAGGAGGAGGAGGGGGAGGAAGACGAGGAGGAGGAGGAGGAGGAGGAGGAGGAGGGGGAGGAGGAAGACGAGGAGGAGGAGGAGGCCTACGACAGCAGCAGCTGGGCCACCCTTTCCACCTCCACCGGTACTGCGGCACAGTGCTGACACTGCCACCCCGTCGCCGACCTCAACGACAGGGCTGACGCGCGCACCCCACTCACGATGTCGGCACGTGCCGCCAGCTACAACCACAGATCGCATACACATAAAAAGGTCCGAGTCCATACAGGGCTCCGAAGCCCGCCGCGGCTTCTCACTCACGGGCCAAATTGCAACGACGCGAAATCAGAGTATACACGGTGACCTCTACGGCTGGCAACAGGGTCAACGCTATGCTACGCAGTGGGTACGTGGTAGCACAGGGCTCCAAAGCCCGCCACGGCTCTCACCCAGAGTATGCTATCTCATCCGACGTAGAGGCAACGAGGCAACCAGATCAGGTCCAGAAATGGGTGGGACCAACATCCTTCCAAGAAGCCACTGGATAGAGCTCTCAATCACCAGCCCACTGGCCATTGGTAGCCCTTAATCACCAGCCCACTGGCTGGGGCCTCGGAGCCGACAACACGAAGAGCCAACTATCCAGATGGCCCCGAGGGGGCATCTCGCCCAACATTCATTCCCCCATGGCTCCACCTTCATGCTACTGCCCCCATCCCGCTGCTCGCATCACTAGCCTTCACTTCCTTCTTGTGGCGGGGAAATCGGCAGAGGTGGCATGGGTGAGGGAGGGATAGCGAACCAGTTGACGGCAGTCATGGTTTAGGACAAGACCGCCGCGACCAGTCACAACGCACCTCCGCAGCAGTACCTAGGCAGCCTTTCTGCATGCACTCCTACCGCATCGGATCGCCGCCACGTTAGACTCGACGGTTTAACACACCGGCTCTTCTGCACTGGCTGTCCTCACGTTGTCTCTTGCCCGCCACCGGTCATCTGTTTTACTCATGCCCCAACCTACATTACCCGTTGCAGACCATAATTGGGAGGACTGGACCCGGTTGCATCAGAGGAGAAGGGATGGGGAACCTCGTTGCTGGCCGCCCTGGTATAGAGCAGGGCGGCCGCAGCAAACAATTTAGCCTCATTTGCCGAACCGGACTCACATGCAGCGATCGCTCCCACCAGACTTGTGACCTCTCTTGTCTCATCATCTCTCTAGATCCGCCGCCGAACTTTGACCCACGAGTTGACTTGATTCTCCTGCCCAGCGCCAACCGCTGCATCGCACACTCGCCGATACCAGGGTGGGCTACTTTGAGGGGGGGAATGAGAACGTAGCCGCTGGATGCCCTGGCTTTGGCCGGGGCGGCTGCTGGCACAACTCAGCTGGCTCGCTGCAAATATCCGCATCGCTCAACTTCTGCCCCGCCGCCACAGCCTCCTGTCTCATCAAGATCCCGCTCGCGCGCTACCTTCGTTTATCCATCCCTAGCCCACTTCTCCTGCGCCACCCCATCCCTCCCAACTCGCCGCCTAACTTTGACCCACGAATTGAATCGTTTCGCCTGCCCAGCGCCAACCGCTGCATCGCACACTCGCCGCTACAGGGGTGGGCTACTTGTCTGCGGAGGGGGGGGGCGGAGAACCTAGCCGCTGGCCGCCCTGGCATTGGCCACGGCGGCTGCTGGGACAACTCGGCCGCCTCGCTGCAAACATCCACATGTCTCAACTTTGCCTCGCTGCCCCGCCGCCACACCCTCCTGTCTCGTCGAGATCCCACTCGCACGCTGCCCTGCTTTTCACTCGCACGCTGCTGTATGGAGGGGTGGGCACACTTTTTCGACGGCGGCGGGGCAGAGGCAGTCCGCACCAACGTGGGGCTGACCAGGGCAACCGATCGGCAAATTGTCCGGCGCGCAAGAGGGAGGAGGCGAAGACGGGGGCAGCCGCGACAAAGGGTGGAGGGGCAGGGCGCTCAGACGTGAGAGAGTTCCGCGGTGAGCGGTGGAGGGGTGGGCGCACGATGGGGCACAGTGGAGGTCCAACCACAAGAAACCTCCCCCAAGACACCCAGCCCTGAGACCCCAGGACGTCCATCGACTCCTGGTGTGGGCACGTCGCGCCTTCCAAAACCATCGAGACACACAAGAAACCCAGGGCACCCTGGAGGCGAGCAGGGTGTTTCTTGGCATGGGCCCCCACTGTATGGGGGGCGGGGACGGCGGCCTCCCGTGACCGACGCCACGCGACGGCGCACCACGCCCTGGGGGAAGCCCGAACGCGGCCCTCAGCCCATCCCTGGGAATCCTGCCCGTGCCTCGGCGGTTGAGGGTCCCCTTGGGAATGGGGGGTCGGGTTCTTGGGGCTTTCTAGGGCGAAGGGGGCCCTGGGACACACACAAATAAATTGACACAACTCCCGAGATCCCCCATAGCGTCTCATATCCTCCGGGTGTTCGTCGTCCCCCCCACTTCCCACAGTTTCCCCATGTTTCTCCCAGCAGTCGACGACGAATTGTTTCTGTGTGTGTTGTTTTCCCCGCCGGGACCTGCCGCGGCGGCTGGGGGTCACCTTGGTGGGACTCGGGGGGGTCGGGTTCCCGGGGCCTTCTTGAGGGCAGGGAGCAGGCCCCCGCGCCCTCGCGAGCGTGGCCACGGCCACACTTTGACTGCCAGCGCCGCCTCCACGCCTCCTCTCCAGCAGCCACCGCCAGCCGCGTGCTTCCCTCCGCCCTCGCGTGCAGCCTCCTCTGCGCTCCCCCTCCACCCACCCCCCTGGGGCCGCTGAGGGACTTATATACCTCGCCCCCTGGTGCGACAGTGCGACCGCCGCCTTTCTTTTTTTTCTACAGCTTACTCAAGTTTGATCAACCCCCCGGGGGGGAGGGGGGGGCGCGTTCGAAGCGAACTCCGAGACCGACATAGACAGCGACGGGAGGAGGAGGAGGAGGAGGAGGAGGAGGAGGAGGAGGAGGAGGAGGAGGAGGAGGAGGGAGGAGAAGGGAGACGGAGAGAGGAAGGAGGGGAAAAGGCGGGGGGAGCCTGTTCGAAGACAATAGGCTGGTGGGTGCCGACTCCCTCAGGTGGGACCACGCATCGGTTGCCCGCTGGAGTAACACGGTAGACGGCAAGCGACGCGAACTTCAGGCGGTCGTCGGGTCGGCTCCGCTGCGGCAGCTGACGCG